ACTCTGGCTTTCTATATCTTATACGCTTGTCACTGATGCACTTATTCTTGAGCTCTTCTATAAGTACTCACCACGTCATTTGATCTTTTTAACGTTCTTATGGTGATACTTGTTCACCATATTCTATCTTATCCACATACTAACAAAACTAATCTTTATCACTTTTCCGATTCAAAACAATAAAGATCTTCTATCACTATTCTAATATGATTTCAACTTTCTAAAATCAACCTTTAATCTTATAAGACACTTTCTGAGGTTTCCGCTCTTCATCCTGCCTGGCCAGGGCAGGTGAATTGCTATCACCATCAGATTTGTTAGCTATCAATTCACTTTGACAATTTCTAAAATCAATTTCTACTATATCATACAAATCTTATTCTATTAGCAAGACATCATACTCCTTACACTATCAGATCAGAAAGTTTTTCATTATGTGTTGGCATGTACACCTTTTTAAAACACTTTTTACTTCGGTTTAAGCCTAGAATCAGCTAAACCTTAGCTCTAATACCATTAAATGTAACACCCCAACCCGTATCCGAGTCTGAGGTGTCACATTGACTTTTCAAAACTCCGTTCTTTACAAATCCATTAAAATATTAATTTCATCATTTAAGAAAATGAGTATTTTACATTAATAATTACAATCAAATTGTTTCTTTAAAACTATCAGAGCATATTCAATTTAAAAACTTGTAACTACATGCCAATTAATTCTATAAACAAAATACATATGTTCAATATGTTTCTGATCTGATCATCGTAAGGAAAATACTGACCTGTCTTGCTTTTCGCTACTCCACTCTCGTTTCTCATACCTACGTGTGAAACAATCACACGCTAAGTCGTTGACTTAGTGAGGCATAAAACATATAATAAAACTCTAACTCGTAATCATGCTTGAACAATTTCTACTAACATATCATATACAAGCATCACACCCACATATACATATACTAATTCCTACTATGCACATTTCATATATTCATCTATAAAATAATTATCCATATGCGCACATATCATCCCTCACTTCATAACTTTATCATCTTATTATCATACTTTCACATATATACACATCATTTTACCAAACAAACATATAGTATTACATAGCATTTTTCTCATACTATATCCTTTATTTTAGCCCATGCATATATGTGAGAACTGTAGATATGTGAGTCTATTGAGGTTGTGCACTATGTTGTCACCACAGCTCGTATGGGGTCCCACTAGGGGCTATGAATTTGTCCCGAATGACCACTATGAAATGTCATAAAGGATCACTATATATCCCGAAGAACCGCGTAGACCCTCGACTCTTGGCATGCTAACTATACCTATAGCTCTCGTATCATATAACATGAGCATTTTCACTTATATCATTTCACATATACGCTTTCATATTACATGTCATGTAAGCTTATAGCTTCTTTTCATATTCTCATAGGATCACATAACTCATATCTTATACCTTGTTTTCTCATGTTCACATTTATCATGTCATATGGCTCATATCTTTCTCATGCAGTCACATAGCACATACTTCTCATATCATTACATTCAAAAGCTTGTTAACACATATAATCATGCATACATACAATCATGTCAGTCATATACATATAATCATATATTCATGCATTCTAATATAAGAAATAGACTTGTCGCAAGTCTTGTTTCCATTTAGCACCATAGACTAACTAATATGCACTCACCTGGGCCTCATTAAGTTCCAATCCACTTTTATGATTTCATTTCTTTCGATCGAATCTTAACTTGATAATTGTTCTGGAACTTGTTCGTGCTCGATATCTATATAATCATACATTGATACATATCAGTATCCAATTGATATACTTTAATCTATCATTTCTTAGAATGAAAGAAAGATTTATTCCATTTCTCATTGAAGTGCATCGATACATTCTACAGTGTATCGAAGCATCCTTTAATATGTGCATCGATGCACTACCCATGCATCGATACACCAATCACCTTCGATGTTTTCATTTTAAGGGGGTGCATCGATGCACTCCTTATGCATCGATGCACTAATTGCATTCGATGTTTCTTCTTTAAAGAGTGCATCGATTCACATTAAATGTGCATCGATACACCTTGCCCAGAATTTGCATTTTAAGCCCGAAAACCATCAACCTTTCACTCAATTCTTCTATTTTAAGCCCCTATCATGTCATTAAACTCAACTACCATTACTTAAATCAACTTATATCCATATAAACCATCTTTATCTTCCATATCTCATCATGAATCTTAAAATTTAAGAATCTTACTAAACTTTCAACTTTATTATTAATCCTTTCTAACTTCATAAATCTCTTATTCTTATTGATGGAAAGTCAAATTCAACTTTCAATTCTTATTGTAAACTCTATTTCAATATTTCACTCAAGAACTCCAAATATTTAATCTTCCTTAACTCCTTTATCTTTTGATTTTAAGATAACTTAAGCTTTCCTTAAGCTTAGTCATCATCTAATGATCATAACCCAACCTTAAATTTAACATGAAATTATCTAAATAGAAGACTCACCTTTTGTTCAAGCCTTCACGTATGAAGAAAGAAGAAGAGAAGAGAACTCTGGAACCTTTTCTCTCTTCCCACGTGGCTTCCTTATCTTATAAGGGAAAATAAAAATCTTACTTGTCAATTGACCATTTTACCCTTTAATTCATTCCATAATTTCTAAATAACCTTCATCATATATTTCCAATAAATCATTGAACTATTCAATTATCCTACTTTAATCACCAATTTCTAAAATTTTTCAATCTAGTCACTAACCCGATATTGAGGATGTTACAATACTATACCCATGATTGGAGCAAAACTAAACAACCTGCTACATCCTATTTTTTTCTCTCTAACGACTATGGTCTCGTTACAGAGTTCACGATACAAAAAAGCTAAAATTACAGAACCCCAACTATATTGGTGACATATATCGAAAGCTTCCATTACCGGAAGATATTGGGTGTGCACCAAATTGCCCGATTTATCCAGTAGCAAGATCCCTCCAATCAACATCATAAGATATGCACGAGCTACATATATCACCTCTTGCTCTATTGATAGTTCATCTACTCTAGATTTTCTTTCCAACCACGTAATTCGTATCCACAACTCATCAATGACATCGGTTGGAGCCTCATTTCCCAATAAATTTGAAATAACATCATTTCACAAATAAGTGTTGCAAAGCACCAATGGCAAACCATTAATCGGAACGCCAAGTTGATACGCAAAATCTTCCAATGTTATCATCACTTCACCACAAGCAAAATGAAACGTAAGCGTTTCAGGCCTCCAACGCTCAATTAACGCCGATATCAGTGCCGACATCACCTTAAATCCGCGAAGAAATGTCGTTCCATATAATCCGGATTGTGAAAGATATATCACCATCCGCTCATGTGGCTCTTCATTCATCATTCCTCGATGACGAATGGCTCGTTCTTCTCGCTACAATTTAAAAATAAATTATTTAATACAATTATATAAATAATTATTATTAATACTATAGTTTTGTCAAAACTAAAATGAAATAAAACAAATTAAATTTACCATAGTCAATTTGGTTGACGAAATATTAATATCATCAAGACGTAACATTTCTTCTATTGAGGTCATTTCAACACAAAATCTTCAACACAAAAATTTTTACTCTCAATACAATGTTTGATTCCAAGTGAAAAATCAATTCAACCAAACCTCTATTTATACTACTCTACCCCATGACTAGTTTATTCAAATTGAAAATAGCCGTTGGAACTCGTCACACCGGCGTGAAGAGTTCCATTGAATTTTTTAAAATAATTTAACCGTTCAACAAATTCAAAATTATACCCGTTGGAACTCATCACACCGGCGTGACGAGTTCCTTCTGCATTAAATAATATATATATATTTATATATATATATATATTTCAATGCTTTTAAAAATCTTTTAAAAAATTATTTTTTATTGGGATTCTTCATGCGGGCATGACGAGTCCCTTAGGATATATTAAATATATTCGGGCAGTGAGACCCACGTGACATGATCCATTAAAAAAATATTCCATGAAACTCGTCACGCTGACATGACGAGTTCCATGGACACTGTAGCATTTGCCATAGATTCCAAAATAAAATTTCGGGTGTCCTATTAGGCTAAATAATCCGCCTGCTTGGATTATTGGGCTAAAAAAACCCTATATTGACATCGAAATAATAATAATAATAATATCACATCAGTACCATTGATTTTTGGGTACATTACACGTTAGTACTTAAATTATCAATTTTGGTTTGTTTAGTACTTAAATTTTTATTTTTTTAAAAAATCATACCTAACATTTAGTTTTTGTTTCATTTTAATACACCACTGTAAAAAAACTTAACGAATGAGCTCGTCGGTCGCCACACCTACAATCATCATCTGTAGCATTTGTCGGTCGCTGAAGCCCAAAATTTACAATATGCACCTTTTCGACCTCCTAAATGCGATTCCAACCTTTTCACCGAGAAACACCTTAATCTCCCCAAGTCAACAACTAACTTTTCGATTTCTTCATCCTTTTATCTCCATGGTCCACTGTTCGATGGGATTGAAATTTGACTTTGTTGGTCGACTTATCATTCTCTCGTGGTCCACCATTCGAATTGATCGTCCGTCCATTGAAGCTATACCATGTCAGCACATCAGTTAAGTTTTTGATGGCGGTTACTAAAATGAAATAAAAACTAAACGTTAAGTATAATTTTAAAAAAGAATGAAAGTTTAGGAACTAAAAGGGATCAAAACTGCTAGTTTATGTATTAAATACATAATTTACCCTTATTTTTTAACAGTCAACGATTGAAATAGAACTAAAACGTAATATTAAATATAATTTTTAAAAATAATAATCAAATGACCAAAACAAAATTTAAGTAATAGGTGGTGACCAAATACGTAGTTTACTGTAGCTTATATCCCCTTGAGCGCGTTCGTCTCAACTCCCTCCTATATCCTCCTAGACCATTTCTGGTTTATGATTAAAGCAGGGGAAGTAGTTAAAAAATCACGCACGCTTTAAACACAGCGTTTTCCATTTCCGTTCACGGCGTGATCTTCTAGCATCATCCCCAAATTTTGCCAAAACAGATAGAAGAAAAAGGCGACATCAAATCCAAAGCAAATATCAAAATGCGAAACCCTAAAATCTCCCGATCCTCTATCCACTAAGCCTTCTTTTCTTTTCTAATAGTTGTCTGAAGCTCTTGTTTATTACCTTTTTGCTCATGGCGGAGGAGGTCGGCGTCAGCTTCGGTAGCGGCGGGAGTTCGTCTTCGAGGAGAGAGATCAATGGCGCGGGATTTTCTTCGATGGACTCGTTAGAATCTCGTTGGGTGTTCCAAGACGAAGATGATTCCGAGATTGATGACGAGGAAGATGACGACAACTATGACGACGGGCCACATCTTCCTGGAGTTGACTCCGATGACGAAGATGCTCCGGATCAGCGCTTGATTCGCACCGGACCACGTATCGATTCTTTCGATGTCGAGGCTCTCGAAGTCCCTGGTGTACAAAGAAGTGATTATGAGGTATATTATCCTTTCTTTTTCTGATTTTGTTTATTTGAGAGGCGTTTATGATGCTAATCTAATAAAACTATTAGCTGTCTGTAATTTGAAATTTCAGAATCCAATTGTTATTTGCTTTGGTGGCACTGAAGAATACTTTTTATTTTTTAAATTGGTTGGTTGTTGAGGAAGTTAATAATTTCTTATTTGGAAATTTGAGCTCGAATAGTATGTTTGGCTGAAAGAATTATGCTTTTAGTTTAGGTTAATGAATAAAATGAAAACGTACGAGTATTTAATGATCTCAGTTGTTAAATAAATAATATTGCATTAGAACTTAGGATGAACTTCTCTATACTCTGAATTTGAGCGTAACCATAGTATAATTTTGGATTGAGTCCGTGCTTCCTTCAATCCTTCCAACAATTGCCATTATATTGACTGAATGGCGTATCTGTTTTTCTTATTGCTTTAGTTTTATTCCTTAGAAAAGCTACACATGTAAGCTCAATGTATCATTTTGTTACTTTTGACATACCTGTTGAATTTCACCTTTTTTGTACTGTTATATTACTTTTAGTGTGGTTGTACCATCACTCTGCATGGTAGCAAGTCTACATTCCTCCCCATGACTGTATCTGGTGGAAAGTATTAAGATTAGACTTGAATGCATAAACTTGTATGACAAGTCTAGAGTCCATCACATGATAATGAGAGGTTGGTACTTTGTCAGGAATAATATTTTAATATCAAGTATGGAATACTCTGAAGTTTATGGTGAACTGTTTTAGCAGGGAGTTCTGTTTTGTAGCATTTCAATGATTATACAACATTCCGTGGTTGTTGATGAGCTTTGTTTAACTGAAAGATTGTCCTTTTCTTGTTGCACACAAAAAAGCTTGTTTCTTGTTGTGTATGTTGGATTAAGTGCAGAACTTTCTTATAGCTATCCTTGATAACCTTGGTACTGAAAATAGGATCAGTTTTTATTAAATTTATTCCACATATGTTTGTTTTTATGCTCGTGTTTAAATGTCTACTTAAATTTGATCTCAGGATATTGGTATAGGGAGGAAGATAATACTTGCCTTCCAAACACTTGGAGTTGTATTTGGTGATGTTGGAACAAGTCCATTATATACCTTCAGTGTGATGTTTAGCAAGGCACCTATCAATGGAAATGAAGATGTTATTGGAGCATTATCACTGGTTCTATACACCTTAATCTTGATCCCCTTAGTCAAATATGTCCTTGTGGTTCTTTGGGCAAATGATGATGGTGAAGGTATGGATTTTCCTAATCATGTCCGTACTTGAGCTTTTATGTAGACATTAATCATAAATGTAAAATATATATTCCATCTTGATTGTTTCATAACTTTTCTGATTGGCTTCTTGAAGGTGGTACTTTTGCATTGTACTCATTGATTTGCCGACATGCGAAGGTTAGCCTTCTCCCAAATCAGCTAACATCTGATGCCCGCATATCAAGCTTCAGGCTAAAGGTGCCATCTGCTGAACTTGAGAGATCACTTAAAATAAAGGAGAGATTAGAGACTTCATTGACTCTGAAGAAACTTCTTCTGATATTAGTGCTTGCCGGCACTTCTATGGTGATTGCTGATGGGGTTGTTACACCGGCAATGTCAGGTTCCATATGCTATTTCTTCTTTATTTTTTTAATGATAATCGTACAATTGAGTACAGCATAACTGTACCGGCTTGTGTTTGTGTTTATTTATTCTACCTAATGTAGTGATGTCAGCCGTTGGTGGTTTAAAGGTTGGAGTTGATGCAATTGAACAAGGTAAGCTGGGATTCCTCGCTATTATCAATATTACATGACATCATTACTTTGCTTTCTTTATTTCTGGTTCAATAACATGCTGTTAATCTGTTTCCCTCAAACCAGTTAAAATCCAATTGAACTGACAAAAAACTGGATTAATTCCATTTTAAACTGGTTTTATATTTATTTTATTGTTTTGTTGCTCAAAAATTATTTTAAGTACTTGGATTCAAAAATTATTTTTAATTATAAATATTAAAAAATATAATATTATATTATTATAAATATTAATAAATATATTTTATATATTTTAATAAATAATTTTTGATTAAAATTATATTAATAATTTTGAGTATTTATTCTTTGAAGTGAAAAGTTCGGAAAATGACTTACGGAAAATCAAACCATAAGTCATTTTTCAGAAAATGCAAAGGAAATTCTATTGACCAGGAAAATATTTTACATTGACCAACCAATTTTCATCCAACCAAACACTAGAAAATGAGGAAAACGTTTTCCGGAAAATGTTTTACGTGAAACAAACAAACCTTAAGTAAAGACTGTATCATTAAGCCAACTGCATTTTTTATTAACCATAGTACATATTTAATATGAAATAATTTGTTAATGATACGATCTCTTTTACAATGTATTAGAGTCCTCATCCGTCAACCTCTTATCTGCATAGATTTATATACAACATATATGGATTTATGATGAAGTTCCATGTCTCTCACCTTTTCTTTTCCCCGGCTGCCTTTACATATTAAGAGTTAATTTTTCCTTTATGATTTTTGCCAGATAATTACAAGTGAATTTCTATTTTTTGGTTAACTTTTCTCTTTTCTCTATGTGCAGACGAAGTGGTGATGATATCAGTTGCTTTTCTTGTGATTTTGTTCAGTGTACAGAAGTTTGGAACAAGTAAAGTGGGACTTGCTGTAGGCCCTGCTTTGTTCATATGGTTTTGTTCTCTAGCAGGCATTGGAATTTATAATCTTGTTAAGTATGATACAAGTGTCCTGAGGGCATTTAATCCTGTTCACATCTATTTATACTTCAAGAGGAACTCAGTTAAGGCTTGGTATTCGCTTGGCGGTTGCCTCTTATGTGCAACAGGTAACACATTAATAAAAATTTAGGGTTGGTGAATATAATTATTTTAATAAAATTTCATTTGTTTCTTAAATATAATTTTTAAGTATCATAGTGCCATGTTTTTTCTCTTGCAAGCCGCAAACTTGCCATGCGGACAATAATGGCTTTAAATAAGTTCCAAGTTTTCATCTCAAATTGCCTGAACACTTTTTTTTTGTTTCTCCTAAAGCTTAGTTTTCTGCAGCGGAATATGATTCATGAAGATGTTTACCCAATTCAGTTAAAATTTATTTCTTTTATTCAGCGTTGATGAATTTGAACATTAATGGTCATTGTATCCGATCTTTACTATCTGTTGATGGTTTTGTGCTTCAGGGTCTGAGGCAATGTTTGCAGATCTTTGCTATTTTCCTGTCCAATCAATACAGGTAATGGATCTAGATAACTTGATTAACAAATCTTCTGGTTCCTGTACATCCTTTTATACAATATAATGACTGATGAGATTGTTAGTTCACTCCTAAATTTCCTTTTATTTGCTGATGGTTGTCTGCAGCTTACATTTGTTTTTCTCGTATTGCCTTGCCTGTTGTTGGGTTATCTGGGTCAAGCAGCTTACCTCATGAATAATCCTAATGGTGCTGAGCAGGTTTTCTTTTCTTCAATTCCAAGTAAGTTTTATCCTCAATTGGTAATGGGACCACCTAATAGTTGAATTTCATTTTTTTATTTGCAACAGTCTTGCTTGCCTTCCTCTAAATGAGAAACTTGTGGACTCCATGTAGGTGGCGTGTTTTGGCCAATCTTTCTCATAGCTAATATTGCCGCTTTGATTGCTAGCCGAACTATGACGACTGCTACATTTTCATGCATAAAACAGTCAACGGCTCTTGGTTGTTTCCCTCGTCTTAAAATCATTCATACATCTAGAAAGTTCATGGGTCAGATTTATATCCCAGTCATAAACTGGTTTTTGCTGGTAGTTTGCTTGATTGTTGTGTGCTCTATCTCAAGCATTAACGAGATTGGAAATGCATATGGTAATAGTCTCTCTCTCTCTCTCTCTATATATAGATATGTGTATATGTATATATACCTGTTTACAAACTTTATAACTTTTGTCATCCTTGAATTAATTTGTAGTGCCATGTAACTTAAAAACCTAAGTTCTTTCTGGAATGTAAAAAACTGTTTTGCAGCCAGTTCACTGCGGAATAGCTGAAACAATAAGCCTAATTTATCTAAGTTTTCTTTCGGCTATGGTTTGCTTTTCTCAGGTATAGCTGAGCTGGGAGTCATGATGATGACCACAGTTTTAGTTACCATTGTCATGCTTCTCATATGGCAGATAAACATCGTAATTGTGCTGAGTTTTGTGATCATTTTCCTGGGTTTGGAATTGGCTTTTTTTTCCTCCATTTTATGGAGTGTGACAGATGGAAGTTGGATAATATTGGTTTTTGCTGTGATAATGTTTCTCATTATGTACGTCTGGAATTATGGTAGCAAGCTAAAGTATGAAACCGAAGTGAAGCAAAAGCTCTCAATGGATTTGATGCGAGAACTGGGCTGCAATCTTGGGACAATCAGAGCTCCTGGCATTGGTTTGGTTTATAATGAGCTGGTAAAAGGAGTACCGGCAATATTTGGCCATTTTCTAACCACGCTCCCTGCTATCCACTCTATGATCATCTTTGTCTGCATAAAGTATGTCCCTGTTCCTGTGGTGCCTCAGAGTGAAAGATTCCTTTTCAGGCGAGTCTGCCCCAAAAGTTACCATATCTTTCGCTGCATTGCCAGGTAAGGTGCTCTGACTGGAAGCTCCAATCTTGTTAGTTTGCCTTATTCCGTTTTTTTCATGTTAGTTGGAGGTATTGAAATTTTGAAGCGCAATATTTATCATAGAAACTAACTGGAATGGTAAAACGACACCTGGACAAGGTGTTGCCAAAATTAATCTGGCAATAACATTGATTCATTGAAAAAAGAAAGAAATTAATCTACTCCTCCAAAAACACTTATGATCAAAGCATATGCACAATTTTTTCACCCTTATGCCTATTCTCATACCCTCTGTTGGGGGACCAACCACTTTCTCAGGTATGGGTATAAGGATGTCCGTAAAGAAAACCACCAGACATTTGAGCAGCTGCTGATTGAGAGTCTTGAAAAGTTCATTCGTCGGGAAGCTCAGGAAAGGCAATTGGAAAGTGATGGTGATGAAGACAGAGATTATGAGGAGGATAACTCTTTGTCAAGAGTTCTCATAGCTCCTAATGGAAGTGTTTACTCACTTGCTGTTCCGCTGTTGGCTGAGTTAGGGGGTTCTAGTAATGATCCCATCACTGAAGCAAGCACTTCAGAGGAGGTGACGGCAGGTTTGCCTGCAGATCCACTTGTTTCAGATGCAGAGCACGGACTGGAGAGGGAGCTATCGTTCATACGCAAAGCTAAGGAATCTGGAGTTGTGTACCTTCTTGGTCATGGGGATATTAGGGCAAGAAAAGATTCTTGGTTTATAAAGAAACTGGTTATCAATTACTTCTATGCTTTCTTGAGAAAAAATTGCAGAAGGGGTATTGCGAATTTGAGCGTGCCCCATTCGCATCTCATGCAGGTGGGCATGACTTACATGGTTTGATGGTTCATTTTAACCAAACTTAAATAAAGTGCATAGTTTTTGTCACTTGGAAAAGGACGGTTCAACAAAGGCAGATGACCATTCAGAAAGGGCCTATCCTTTTAGCAATACTCAATCGAAGCTGCAACGCGGAGGAGCTCAAGTCAACCGATAGCAGCCAGTCTTCAACCTTTCTCCAGATGGATGCTGGCCCTTTCAATCTGCAAATTTAGTATGGAATGCTTTCACTTGGTTTTCATTAGGCTTCGCTGATTAGATATTTTTGTAATATTTATGGAGTTGCCTTTACTTTTGTGTATTGGTTTATTCGCTGTCAGAAGAAAGTTCATATTTGTAATTGTTGGGGGAAGATTTTTTTCTTTTTCTCAATTTAAGTGAATATCTTTTCGGGCTAATTAAGTGATACCTAGAAAATATGTAGATATATATTGCAGTTTCAACAGTAATGTACATTTAGTCATTCTATTAGTGTGGGGCAAGTTTAGGGATGATATAAGAGACCCTTTGGGGTTTTTTCCTCTCTTTTTTTTCTTTTCAATAATAGCCAATAGGGTTAGTGTATTGATATCTTGTTGTTGGTATCGGTACAATACGGTTCTTATTTTTAAAAGAATAAGAAAAAAAGAAGCGATAGAAGTTCTGATATTTTCTTTTCAAAAATGAAAACCATGATATATGATACAATAAATCAAACTATAATTACATAGATGTGTATTTGAGAAATGGATATCACAAAGAGATTACCAAAGTTGGTGTACGGTTGAAGTGGTTCTCTTAATTAATTTAGCACAACTAAATTTTCATTTTTCTTGATCAAAGCTTTCGATCAATAAATCTTCTTTCTATTTTCATACACGTGTATTCTTGGTGTAAGAATACCTCTCAATTTAAAACGCTAAAAAAATCTAATCATTTTTATAGAGTTTTCGACAAGCCTATAAACCTAGGAATTAAGTTACACAAATTTGGTTTAATATAAAAACAATGGCTTAAACTATACTCAAAATATAAACGTAACACACATCACTAAACGATTTTTTAAGGTACCTAAAAATGTAACGGAGAAAATATTAGACATTTATTTTTAACAAAAATTTCTTAAAGCACCAAAAATCAAGTTTAGATATAATTTACAATTATTTTTATATTAAGTCCAAAAATTATAAATAAATCTTTAGATTATTTTCAACAGTTCTCTCTCTCTCAAAATTTTTATAATGCATGTAAGCCTTGTGGATCTAAACAAAAAAATAATAAAGTTAAATATATTTATTTATACAATACATGTGAAAACATGTTTTTTTCCCCATTTTTATCAATAAAAGATTATCACTTTTATGTGACACATTTTATTATTAAAAATAATATATTTGATAAATATTTGATTTAGAATACTAAGTTGACAAATAATTCAAATAAATGTATTTGTGAGTAAAAAACAAAAGACAAATGATGTACACTGACTGCTAGCAAAATTTTTCAGATGATGCATTTGAAAAGAAATCGTAAAATAATGCAATCGTGGAGTTATTTGTTTGAATAGGACAAATTCTACAATAGAATGTCGGAGACACATTGAAATGATAACGTTCATGGTGTATCATATGAAACATCATACGTCTTTAATTGGGGTTAAGGAAGACACTAGGACTGCAATGTGTCTCCTGATCCTGACACCACTCTGCAAGCATTTCACGGTCACGGGCTGATGCGATGAGATAGGAGCATGCAGGCTTGCTGTTTGTAGTCTGTATTTCACAGGCAAATAATTGAAAAACAGCAACAAGTGAGGGAGAATAACTGAACAAAGCAATAAGTGAGGGGTAATGCTTAGGATATATACGATGTTATGGGGAGAGTAAGATAGCACGGAAAAAAAGAAAAAGAAAAGAGGAGACAAATTGCTTTGAGAGGAATCATTTAAAGGGGAGGAGAAAAAAAGATCGAAGAAGGTAAATTTTTTTTTTACATAAAAAAATTAGGTTAGGGGTAGTTTCTTAGTCCAGGGCCAGGACATACCTAAGACCAAAGTTTAGATAAATTATTTTTGTTTTTCGTTTTGAAGATAATTTTATATTAAATTATTTTTGTTTAAATTAATATAATATTTAGATTTTGATTTATTCACTAATTAAATTAATTATTTTTTTTATTTTTTATAGATTCGTTCATATGGCAGAACAAAATCAACTACTGAAACATGACGATCAACATATTTCTAACCATTTGAGAATAATGGTGTTATTATTATTTTAACAAAATAATATATTTTATTTGAGAATGAATTATTATTATTAAATGCTAGAAATTTATTTTATGATTAATTTTATGAATTACCACGAACCAACTTGTCTCAGTATTTAAAGGAATCATTTTTGTTCCTAGAGGTCATGGGTTCGAGCACCAGCGGCTGCAATATGGTGATTGAACGTTTATTGTTAAATGATTGAGAGTATTTAGGAGAGATATTACTTTGTAATCACCTTACTTAATAAAAAATAATTTTATGAATTAAATAATTTTAAGAAAAGCAACGAGTCCTCCTTCATTGACTCAATATTTTTAATAAGTCACATCTTTTGATTGTCGATAACTTCCAATAGGTTGGATTTTACAATGTAACATTTGTTTGAGTGTACAAGTTGGTATCATGTTTAATCAGTGCGTTGATTGAATGTTGGACACCAAAAACACATACATTTTATTTTTCATGTAGAGAATGCACGATAACTCTGGAGGATGTGACCATGCAACTCGAGGTCCTAACAAATGGGATGCCAGTGGTGTGAAAAAATTATTACAATGATTTGGAAATACTTTAAAATGAGTTTCTTAGGTAGATGCTAGTCAAATCATATTTAAAAGGGTGACTTTTGAGGCTATCATTGTCGAAGAATCAATTTAACCTATAACGAAATAGTACCCAACAAGAAATTTGTATGCAACTCAAGCATATATATTGCAGTTTATAGGGAGAGTTTTGATGTCGGATAAATCCAATAATCTTGGTTCACACACAATTCTCTCGTTTTTTTGAGAAATTTTGAGAATACTTGTCAATATAGTTGTGGATCGACGATATAAACATTCTTGTACCGCCAGATGTGCAAGGCATATTATTAATCTAAGTAATATTAATACAATGAAAATTGGTGGATGTCTGATGTTGCTACAATCATGGCTTGGCATAGATTTTCATTTTTAACACCGATTAGTTGAACTATGGTTGACTTTCCTCTTACCGAAAGGAAATATTTCTCTATTTTGATTTAAAATCTTAATTGGAATTTATTTATTTATTTTTTATTAAAAATAATTAAGGAATACTTTTTTAATTGATATACAGACGGAGGCATAAAATAGAAAGAACAAGGTTGATGCACAATAATATTTAAGAGTTTAGGTTGAAGATCGACATTAGAAGCAAATATGAGGTATATATTATTATTTCTAATTTCTAATTTTGTATAATTGAATTTTATTTTTTATATATATATATTTTATTAAATTTTATTTATTTATTTATTGATAATTTTACGTAATTAATTTTTATAAATATTTTAATTTTACATTTTAATTGGAGGCCGTACGTAGAAGAAGAAATTATTATGTATGTTGCAAGATGTTTGGGATGGTTGTCAATGATGTGTTGTTACATCGTTGATTCATTTGCTTTTGTTGAGTTTTAGTTTTCAGATAGAGTGTTAAGGCAGTTCAACTTCCACCATCCTATTCCGCAAATTTTATACGATCATAACGACCTCAACAAATTAGATGGATGGGGTAAGCACAACATGAATTGGATTGAGAAGTATGTGAACTACATTAATATTTGGAAAAATAGGGCTTCGTACCTACTAGCGCTTATTTTCACTCAAGATGATGACTTTGGTTTTCAGACTTCGGCTTACATTAACTATTATTAGGATAATGAAAAACAACAATTGACAATTATGGGAGAGAGGCGACAATTTATATAATTTAAGAAAGAATTTGTTAAAGCCAAAAAAATCTATACCAAGTGGGAGTGGGAGTTCATCACACTATAAAGTGGAAATAACACTTGTGGATAATAGCTCAACATAACCTTTTGGCGATGCATGATCATTTTATCAAGAGTTTGATGATTTTATTGTTGCAATGTACATACTTGAGTTTATAAATCCTCAGTAGCCCCATCTACTCTCAGTTTGAATCAACGTATGATTTTTAATATTGAAAACATGACATCTATGATGTCAAATACGACTATTTGTCATTCAAGTTTCCATCGGAGATGTGAGAGTAGAGTGAGGGGCATTTATTTACAAAACTGGATTATATACCCTCAATGAATGAGGAGGATGGCTACCAGGCTCCTGATCGACCACAATATATCAACGTGCGCTTCGACATTATCATTTCACAACACATTGATGCCGACAAGAATTGTCAAACAACCTATTATTTTTGTATAAAAATTAATGTTAAATAAAATGTTATTTATTCAAATGATGGTTTAATTCTATTTAATTTATGTATGCAAACTGTGTTAAATTCATTTTAAATCAAATATGGAAATCCATCACACTCGTTCAAAAAAAAGAGGAAAAATCAAACATTCATTCAAATAAAATATGAAAATCCATAAAACACATTCAGAAAATAAATAAGAAAAACCATACATTCATTCATTCATTCATTAAATTGAAATAAAAACAAATTCAAATGTTCATTCATATTCATATACAAATACAAATATGATTATTAGTGAGGTCTATATCTTGTTAGATTTGGACACTTTTTTCAATGACGTTCACCACTACATAGTCTGCATCTCTTTGGTTGGCCTTTCTTTCTAATATGGAAATCCATATAGGTATGAATATGAGAGGGCCCAGGTTGACCTTTTGGACTTCTATGAAGCATTGGATTTGGCATTCATATGTCATGATTCTTTTTGAGCCAATATGATTCATTTGGGATCTGTCCGAACTCATAGCTGTAGACATTTAATATCTTCTGTAGGTGAAACCACTCATCAATATAAATGTACACGTTTATACCAGCATGCAACAATTTCATGAGAACAATGATATCTCCATGCCTACAAGCGACTACAATCACACCATCTGTGTTGTAAATCAACTCTAAATGTTTGGCATGTCACAACAAAAGTATGTTCAATTCAGTCAAAATCATGAACAAGCATTAAGGTTGCCAATCACTCATTTTCTTTCTTTGCTTCTACCGTTATATAAGCCTAAGTTTTCCTCTATTTATGGACACTCAATCTCATTCCCTTTTTCGGACCAAACCGTAGCCAACCTAAAGTATATCACTTTCACTACACTCATTACTGGAGATGGCATGTACCTTTTAGTACTGA